GCAGAACCTGTTGCAGCCGCCATCACACCTCGAAAAGGGCCATTCCTTAGTATCCAGAATGAAAGAAATGACAATGCACCTCGCAACTCATTCCGGTCAAATGGGTAACATCGACAAGCCCTCCCTTTGATAAACGGGCCCCCCATCTCGGGTCTGTGTATAATGAGCCAGCCCTGCCAGGTGACATTGGACGTGGAGATGCGCGATCACCCTCGTAGATGACCGAAAGCGTATCCGTAAGCTTCACTGGAAATGGCGCCTTGCTTATTTTACGGCTCTTTTCTGAAAGAAAGAAAAAAAAGTCTGGACCTCGACCATGATCCCGACCGCGGCTCAACGTTGGACGCAGAGGTGCGGCTGTCACCGCAAAGAGCTGGAACGTCCCCGTGGGTGGACGTTGTCTCGAACGGGGTCGAGAGGCCGAGATCGACACTTTGCTGATCTCTACCATTTCTTTGACATATCGAATGGATCACAGGACTTTCAAATCCTCCCACTCCTACCTAAGTTCCCTAGCACGGTTCTTTGCAGGAATGCAGTACGACCTCGTAGAATTGGCACATATGAATGGCAAACTTGGGTTGAGTTTCGCGAGTGACGAACCACCGCCCCCACGATCCCATTTCTTCGGTCCCCCCCAAACAATGTTGCAAGCAAGCATTACCGAAACGGAACAAGAAGAGAGCGCGACCTAGAGCAGATCCTGCAAGATTCTTCAGGGGATCTGCGCGGTCTTCGACCGACTACAAGGCGATAATGGCTCTAAATCGCCTTTGGTCGTTTCATTTTCGTGAACGAACAAGACAAAAAAGAGAGAGAGAGAAAGCAAACGTCGGCTCATGGCCGACCTAGTTGGGCTGAGTTGGTAAGAGCCAAGAGACTTGGTCAGCTGGACAGGCAAAGAGTTGTCTGGCACAGCTGGGAACCCAACCCATGCATTCTTTGTCTCTTTGACCGCACAAGCTGAATTAGGCATTGATGGTGCCCTCGCCCTCCCAAACGAGTTTTACAGGTGCGTTTCCACGCCGCTTTGGCATCGGAATTTGGTGGGGAGGCAATGGTGTCGCCGATCTTCATTGTCCAGTTACCTTGCGGAGCTGTAGAGCGGCCGGGGGGCCACTGGCCTAAACCGGACGATTGGCAATCTTTGATTGGAGACGCCGCTTAAATAGTGTAAACTAGGGTGGCCACGAGCAGCAAAAGCAAGTGGCTGACAGCGCTGACTTGGTGGAAGACTGTTCCTCTGCCAGGTCTTTGGGAGGAGAAGATGGAGTCGTGATGCGTGGTGGCAACTCTGCGTGGCCACTGGATATTTGCTCCACGTCGAGAAGCGGTAAGTGGAAAACTTGCTCCCAAATTGGAGCGGTGATGATGGCAGGCGAGGTTGTCATGCAGTCTGGTCGTGTTAGGGGAACAATATCCGCAACAACAGGAACAACAATCTCATACACAACCTGACGTCTCCGTATGAGACGTGGGTTTGGCGGCGCGGCTAGAGCGCGAAGACTTCACCGCCCTAGGCTACCCGCATCGCTGGAGGAAACACCTTCTTCTTAGTCCGGATCTGTAGTTCCAGACTCACAAGTTACAAAGCCCTGTTGAAACCAATTATCAGCAAGCGAGAGAGGCTGCTGAAGAATCGTGGTCATGGCAGAGTCTTTGGGTTCCGTAATCTCGTATGCGTGGTGGGTTCAGCGGAACGAGTTGCAGCAGGCCAAGGCGAATCCACCGGGTCGTTGTGTCGCTTTGAGGAACGCATTGGTGGCTGGTACACGTAGTGGCAGTGTATTCGTAGGGCTTCGATACAAAAAGCTGAAGCTGAAGCGAATGCAACTCAATAACAAAATATGGAGACGGACGTCCCATCCACTTTCCACCCACAGAGGCGGAGTCACCGATGCTGGCTCGAGAACGGCGTATGGAAGTCTGAGAGGCTTCTTCGTCAGGGGGTTAAGCCTTCTAGAAGCCACGGAAACGACGGGTAAAAGAGGAGGGGCCACCATTCGGCCCAGATCCCGCTGTGATGTGATTTGAAACGGTTGATGCTGGAAGGTTAGTGCTCTGAGAGAGTGGGTGAAGCAGGGCAGGGCCGTCGATGAGGAGGGACGAGACATCGACTGGGCACGGAAGACAGGCGCGCTTCGGGAAAGGCCAGGGGCACGGTCCGGACGTTGACCAGCAGAGGCCCTTCTCTTCGGCCCAGGATGCGACAAGAGGCATGGCGACAGAGTCAGCGACGTGTACGAGCTTTGTGTGGTGTGGGTGTGCTCGTGTGCGTCTGACTTGTCACGGCTGGCTCGTTGTAGAGGGCTCAAACAAGCCTGGGTTGCCGACGCAGTGCGTCTTCTGGGCGCGCACGATTCCTAAACGTGGTCCAACGACAGATCAAGGACGATCAATCCGAAGGTTTTGGGACGGTGTGGTCAAGGTGAGTTGTCATCAATCAGCGTTTGCCACAGCTTTGCTGCGTTGCTAGCCTCGCCGTTGACTCCCAAAATTCCAATCTTGGCCGGGATCGGAACGGGGACCAATAAAGCGGACTAGGTGGGTGATTTAGTTTGCGTTGCTTTGCGTTGCGTTGCGTTTCCTTGCGTTGCGAGCGAAAACAATGTGCGGAAACCCCATTCAGAGGCCTCGCTGCAAGCTGCAAGCTGCAAAAGCTAGCGGGTTGCAGCATGGCCGTGATATCGCCGCTGCATCGTCACGCCCACCAAAGGATTGGACACGGGAGTCAAACAGCGTGTCGGTCGTCTGAAAGCGCCGTAGTGTAGTCCAATGTGAATGAGTCCGCAAGGCAGAGGAGAACGCTGTGGTCGGGGCATGCTTGGTGCTCTTTGGAAGCGGGCCGAGTCATGGGCGTATCATCCTTTATAATGTCAATAAGGCGGCGTCCAGACGATAGCCCATGGCGGGAGTTGGTCGAAAACCTTGCTATGAGAGGGCTATGGAGCAGGACTGTCGCGTCGGGTGGCATCATGGTCAAAGGGCTGCATGATTCGTCGCACAAGACGCACAACAAGCTCGCAGTTGGGTTGCATGGGAGGTTGCGAGAATGTAATGCCCATCGTACTCTTGTAGGCAAGTCGAAACGAGCCAGCACCAAGACCTGTGCCACGGCGTATGAGAATGCAAGCAAACGGCGACTTTGAACTACCCAACCATCCCGAGCGGCGGCCGCATCGAGAGTTGTCAGCGATAGAAAAAGCCTTGGGCATCCCAGTTGCATCAACGAACAAGCAGAGTGTGATGTGCTGATGGCGTAGTTGGGACCGATGGGATCTGCCAAGGAGTCTGGTTGGCGCCTTGGACACATTTCTAGGTGAAAGTGGTGAGGGTGTGTATTAATGGCACTCTCAAGCTTTGGGCCGGGGTTGGCACATTATCGCCAGGCCTGCTTAAACCTAGAGTCTTATTTCCATTCTCGGTGAGTGGCGGCAAACGGTAGTCAGGTGAAGGGAAGACATGCTGGTAGTCGCTGAGCCGTGTCTTTCTAGTCTTTACTCGGGGCCCCATGGTCGACCACATATTCGTGTTTGATTGAAGGTCCAAGACCATTGAGGTTCAAATAGTGAGGACGATCCTACAAGCCGGTGCTCGCGCAAATTACTCCGCGGACGCACTCTGCGATGATTGAAGTTACGTTGGGATTGGTTGTAGCAATGCAGCTCAATCTTGGATGCCGATGGTCGAATCCTGAACATACACTGCAAAGCCGGACCACTGAAACTAGAGGGTTGACCATGGATCGAGTGGTGTGAGCTGTGCAGCGTCATTCTCAGCATAAGTCGTGCGAGGATGACCCTCGCCCACGGGCAGCCGCGGTTCCCGGTCTGTAGACCCTTGGAAGGCTCCATCAACCACATGGCAAGACTAGGCAGAGGGGATGGAGGGTTCGCCATGGCCGAGGCGTCGAGGTTGACGCGTAGCTCCGCACGCACACGGCCATTGTTGGGAAGAAAGGAGATTGTCGAGCATCGACGTCAGAAGTTGATTGACTCGTACCTGGTGGAGGATGAGCGGTGGTGGCTCAGGCAAGACTCAAGAGTCAGCCAGCGGCAATTTTAGATGCAGAGCTGGTTCTGAACCGGGTATTCGTACAGTACGGTGGACGGTTGTAGGAAGATGAGATGATCTCAGCTCATCGACGCCCCGGCCTTCCATTCATCCATCCATCTGCATGCATGGAACCGGAACTTGGAAGTCAAAATCTTTGTTGTCTGCGGAGGTGAGGTCGGTACGGATACTCGACTGTCGTCATTGTGAATCTGGCGACTTTCGGGTTCTATGCCGGCCGCCGTTCGTCCTTTTCTCCCCCAGAACTTGGAAGAGGCTTTGCGAGAGCCGAGAAGCCAGAGCCACTTTGGGGTCGGAGAGCGGGCGAGCACCATTACTCACGCATGGAGTAATGCCGTCGCGGACATGAAGCGTGTAGGTCTGAGTATCGGGCAGTTGCCGGCGTCTCGAGACTCTGAAATTATCCAAACTATCGCATCCCGTGCACCGTTGGCGTTTGGACCAAAGTGACGGGCACCCCGGGTACTGAAAGGGACGGTTGCACGTATTCCCGGGGCACTGTCTGGACCAAAGCCCTAGCAGCATCAGACGACGGCGGACAATGAGGCGTTCGCCCCGCCGTCGGCCACTTTCCCAGTGGCTCCGGTATCTCGGCCGCTTGCACCCAAGGACGGGTTAATTAGCATCCACACCCCACGGGTCAGGCGCCTCGATGCAGATCTAACACCGGTTGGTGGACGATTCATATTCAAAGTCTTGGGCGTTGGTAACAAGGAGAATAGAAAAAAAGGGGGGGGGCGAAAGGGTCGCATAAGGCTGCCGGTCCGTATTTATGTCTCTAGTATCGTTAGAGGCGAAGGAGAGTCGAGAGAGAAATTCAACCAAGAAGAGCGTGGAAGTGCAACGACTGCTCCGTATACCATCGAGTGTGAGTCTGCTTCGATTGAAGTGGCTGCTTATCACTGAACCCATCGTCAAGCTATGATTTAGTCGGGGCAACCTGCGGGTGTCGTAACCGATTTAGATATCCCATGCGTCTGCAGTGGCACTGTCGGATGGATGCAGTAGGATGTTGTTTGTTTGAGAAGTAATGTAATCAAACCTGTATGAGCCTCGTATGCGTGGGGATCGGAGGGCATCTCCATTCGGAGCGTAATGGTGTAGGAATCCGTAGCCACATGCATGGAGGAGCAGACGACGACAGCTCCGAAGCGAGGAGATGAATTGATTGCGAAGGCGATCAGCAGGACGGCTTTGTTGGTGGCTGGTTGCATCTGGAGTGGACGAGGCCGGTGGATCGTGGATCGCAACTAGATGGATCCAATCTTACTGCCAGCGGGAAGGGGACAACGGCCACTCGCTGCTAGGTTGCCTCTTGCCTCCTGCGAGGCGAGTCCTGCCTCGTGGTTCTAGGAGCATGCGGCTCGGCATTGATGGGCTCGATGATGGAGTGTATGCTTCGTACTCTGTACTCTGTACCGTGTGTCCTAGCCACGGAGTCAGGGGAATTCCGGGAAGGGTTGGTTTGCGGTCCGGCGTCCTGCTCTAGCCTAGCTCGCCTACCTTATTAGCTGTGAACTTGTAAAGAACAGCTGAAAGGAACATTGTATGGACGGTGAGGCGACAATTGAGGCTAGCTCCGAGGTTTGGAACTAAGGAGCCGGGTTGATGATGGTAAGTGGAGGCGGAACAGAGTTTGAAGATTCCGTGATGTCGAATTTCTTTGTCGTGCAAGCAGGAATGGATATCCGTACTCCATAGTGCCGTACATATGAGACATAGTGTATCCGTACGCGGTACGGAATAGAGGCAGGATCTGGGACGGATGGGTGGAACGGGAGCAGTAGACGGAACGTACTCCGTATCCGTCGAGCGCCGTTGCAGCCACACAAACGCCCGGTGTAGGCAAATTTCTTCGCAAGGCAGGCACAGCAAGTAGCCGTACCTAGGAGTCAAAAGTTATTTGCACTCTCAGGTACCGTTACCTTCCTGCTTAGTGCTCTCCCGCCATCTTTTACAACCTTACTGCGTCCCATGGTAGGTGGCTTACGCCCCCGGCTGATGAGATAAGGCAAGACGGAGGAGCTACCTGACTGTGGACGCAGCAGAGCCAGCCGAGGTACGTATTGTGCTACAAGGTGACGGTCATCGTCACCAATGGTGGGGGACAAGGCCGAAGTTTAGAGTCTAAACCAGAGATGGGCACTTTGAGGCCCTTGGATAGGAGTGGATGGCTCAAGCTAATATTCCATAGTGGTGTTCCGGCTCCGAAATCACAGTCCTGGTATGAAGGCTGGCCGCAGGGTCCGTAGCGAGGCACGCTGGGCGGGTAAAGGGACGGTCCATGGATGAGTGAGTCTCTGTGGCGGCTCTCATCAAAGATTTGGTTTGACGCAGATGTAATGCAGGGACGAGAAGAGAGGAATGGAGAGGTTCGAGTGAGTCTAGACTCGCCGGTCTCAATTGGAGGGCTCAAACAGTCGGGTAACTAATACGGATGAGCGCTCCGCACGCGAGTCTGAGATGCTGGTTCATGGGCCCGCGGCCTGTTCCCGTTTCCAGGGACAAGGCTGGTGAGCTTTGAGTCGTGAGTCGTGAGTCGTGATTCGTGAGTCGTGATTGTCTTGAGATGGCACCGGCCTTGCCTGGTCAAGCCCTGTGGATGAAATATGAAATGGTAATGCACTTTTGTATTATTCACCCATTGAATATTAATCTTCACTCCAGAAGGTACGCAATGCTTTGTACGGTGCGGATCAGTGCTCTCTCCTCCCACCAAGCCTCCCTATAGGATATAACCCTTGGAGAAGGGAGGAAATGTGGCACGGGAGGCATTGATTTGTTTCTCGCAGATGGTTTCCGTCTCCCTGATTAATCCCCGACCCAATCCATTCAAAATAGCGACTGCAAAGCCCCAGCAGCGCGATGCAACGCTTCGGCCGAGCATGCAGGATTTCGTAATTGTCGTCATTACTATGGGTTTCTGATGAGGATCTGTTGGTCAGCCTGTCATGCTGTGTGGACAGCAATTACTAAGCCTTTGCCGTATTAATCTGAAGGTGGCGGCTTGCTTTATGTTCAGAGCGTCCGAGGCGGCCATAATATAGAATTGTCGAATTGTCATCTCGGACTCGTTCGACCCGCCTCAAGCTAGCGATGGCCCAATTCACTGTACCCTTGATTCCACGTTGTAAGCCGCCTCTTCCATATGCTAGGTTCTAGCATGGGTGAGATATTATCATGAGTGTGTCGAGTGTCTTGGGTTGTGTTAGCTCAACAATCCGCCAACTCCATACCTATGACTTGGATGATTTGAGGTGTGTCTTGAGCTCACCTCACCTCACCTTCCCTTTTCCCTCTTACACACTTTCTCACCTTGAACCCACCTAGGAGATTCAGGCAGGGTGTCAGGTGTGCGTAGCGAGGACAGCAAGGCCGGGTAATAAGCTGGCCCTGGCAGATTCAACAAGGCTCCTCCTTTCGTGTCGTCTTCGAGGTTGCTCCTCTTTCCCAGAATCCCAGGTACGAGGGTTGGGAACCTGGGATGGACATGGCTCTCGTCAGAAATCCAATCCAAGACTCCTGGGACCTGGAACTTGCAAGGGATCCCCCCTGCCGCCCGCTCTCAATCCCCTTCCCTCCCCCTTCCCCTTGCAAGCCAAAAAAAGTACCTCGGTACTTTTAAGAGGTACCGGAGTACCTCCAATACCAGCGTCTCTCTGCGCCTTCCTCAACTGCCACGCACACCCAGCAAACGGTATCTCATCCCCAGTAAGGTACGTCGATACGGGATAGTGGGATCAAAGTGGCTATTACCGACGGCGCGGATTGCTGGGTTGTCTCAACTGGCCCTTGCCGTTCCCATTTGCCCTGGCACTGGGTTCTCTTTCTTTTTTTATTCCTACGTCTCCGTATTATCCTTTTTTTCCAGAATCTTTTCCTTCTCTGGCATTTTTTCACAATTATTCCTCTGATGGTTTCTTCTGCCCCTCAGTACTCCCGTGCCTTCCTCCCCTAGACCCTACCCTCGTGCCTCCCCTGCCCCTGATTGGGGTAGGGACCCCACGCCTAGCGCACCACTGATGATCTTCTTCTCTTTGCTTTTCTCGCTGGTTCCCTCTTATTCTAGCACTAGACTTGATCTTGGCCCTGGTCTTGGTCTTGGAGTTGTGATCCTCAGATCCTCATAATCACATCTTCAAGTCCGACCTGGCCCCCAGGACGCCAAGAAATATATCATCACCGCTTGGACATATATTTCGAATGGATGGATGGATGACGGTTCCTCAGCAGAAAGGGGCGCTTTGCTCGTGTGTGATGCTGACGGTCCTCCAGCCTCTATAGTCTATACTACCGTACCGTCCTTGCATGGCCGTGCGATCCATCCGGAATTTTGGTCTTGGACTCCTGGCAGACCACGCAAGTCTGCGAGCGAACGGACGCACAATTCCGAGTGTTTTGACCCCCCACCCCAACCAGCCGGCTTTTTACCTTCATCTCTTGCACTTATTCGCAACACCTTGACGGTGTACCGGCGACCTCCACGACCATGAGGCAGAAAGGAGAGGCACACGAGCAGTCCAGCGTCCACCATGACCTCGTGTGGTTGCAGATTCTCGCCTGCTTCTGCAGTTTGAGCCTGTTCTTTTCGTTCACACTGTAGCTACCGGAATTGGAACAATGTGCCGCTGGTCGATCAATACGAAGGTCATTGACTCGCCGCTGCCGCGCGCCGCCGCCTCTGACGGACACTCTGTCTTTGACAGCAAATTTAATTTTTTTTGCCGCACACACCTGACGACTCATTCACCATACCTTTCTTTGCTGCTTCGTCTCCCAGCGCGCTCATTTGTCTCGCCAGTCGAGTCAAAGGTTCTGGCCCAAAGTCGTCTCTAGAAATGACGCTGCGGCCCCTCCCTTCTTTGCCGTCTTATGGCGGAGCGCCCGCGAAGACCATGCGTCCAAGTTCTTTCATCTCTCCTCACAACTAGTCGCCTGGTGGCCGCATGTTCGGAGTATCCATTCGAATGACTGGATACGCCATCTTCTTAAACAAGAGTCTGGTGTTTGGGGATATGGTGGTCGTCCCTACAACGCTTAATCGGCCTGGTCCGTCCAGTGCCACCTCTTGTTCCCCTTTTCTCATTCGAAACAGCTATTCTGGGGAAGTCAACAAGGCCAGGCGAAGACAGGCAAAGAAGGGAGGCTGGTTGGCATGTTCCATGAGGTATCCATCTTGCGTTCCGTTCTTCGAGATCACCGACAGGCGCATGGGTTGTGGTTCTTTTGACTCTCTCCAGCCGGTAGGGACAGGCCCGAGTGGACCACCAAAGACCCAAGACTCCAAGAGACCCGAGTACCAAACGAGTTGTTCGTCCACCCCCCGGCCTGGCGCAGGGATGGCCTTGTTGCTAATCGCCCCAGCGTGCGATGAGCGTGGCACGGCATGGCATGGGCACGGCAGCATGGCAACATGGCAGCATGGATAGTTATCTCGTCTTAGCAGCCATCCGTCAGTGTGTGGGCTGTAAATTCAGAGTGGCAGCAGACTCAGAGTTCCCTCAGTCCACTGTCCACCTGACGGGGGTTGGTTGACGATGCACTGCTGCGTACGAATGGCCAACGGCAAATGACGACGCCTGCAGCCGCAGCAGCACCATCAGCGGCACCGGCGAAAGCAACTGCTGTTGCCGATGTCTCCCTCCGCTATTCTCGCTACTCATGATACTGCTGACAGGAAAGGCGCCTCTCGTTGGGCACCGATCTCCGTGTTGTTACGCCTCCGGTGCCACTCTGCTGGGGCAACGACTATGTATCCGTATCGGCCGGAGCGGAGGTTGACACACGTACTGTCCCGCTCTATATAGCGTGGCGTAGTAGACGAGTATGCGGCTTGCATGTACGCAGTACGTATGGTTTCTCACTCGGTGAGACCCCGAGGAACTACTTGATGGGGAGGTGTTCATTTGCACTGTCCTACTGCAGACCGCTGCTGCTTGCTTCGGCGACTGCCACTGCCTCTCCCGATGCCGTCGATGGTTGTTACTGCCGGCGGTCGGGCGATAGGCGGTGGGCGGGTTGGGTGGTGTTGGCAATAGGCGGTGGCCGTGGCTTGTTCAAGGTCCCGGAGACGACGGGGGGGGGACGACTTCACAAAGGGACCTCTCCACGATGACGCGCTAAGGCTGACTAGAAGCGAGTAGTGGGCTGGACATGGAGGGGGAGTGAAGGGACTTTGCGGCTTGAGGCGTTGATGAGGCGTACCGTACCTGACAGAGAAAAGGGCAAAGTGCCAAAAGACCACGGACGGGAACTGGAAGGGATGCCGAGTCGAGATGTGATGGGAGGGAAGAGCTGGACAAGAGGAAGGGAGGAAGCATGACACGGCCTGGCACGTACATAATGGATGTATCCCAAGAGTCACTTTTGTGAGTAGTATGTCTGGAGTGAATACGGATCGGATACTTCTGGCCTTGCATATCCTACACAACTAGACGGACATTGGCAACACCCTCAACTCGTCCTTCACTATCAGTGCTCGACCGCGAACACCCATCCACCCAGCTCCTACCTAAGGTATGGAGCCTGACTACCTTACCTCACTTGAGGCCCTGGCCTCGTGCTCACATTGGAACTCTCCTTCCACACACACACACTCACAAATACCGCACACTCACACACACACACACTCGCACACACTTACACTCCTCGTCAGGCATACAGGGCAGGGAACAGTGGATGAATGACAGCACAGCACCAGTCCAAAATGGGAGGGGAAGGGGGCCGAGAAAATGGATGGCCCAGTGGCCAGTGGGTGCTGCCGCTAAAAAGATGAAGCTCCGGGTGTGTAGCGTGTGCCGTGTGGGAGTGTAGGAGCGTGAGAACGTGTGGAGGGTCTGGTCTGGCACTGCACCTCTCTCTCTCTCTCTCTCTGGAGTCTGAGGTGTGAGTCTGCATTGAGGATGCATTGCCATCAATTTCACCCAAGTTCCCCCAACCCATCCAGGCGCATATTCCCCTTGGACATTTGGGTCCTAGTTCCTGGTCCGGCGGCGGAGAAGGGTACGTACCCCGATCTGGGGCCACCGTCCGTCACTTATGGAGACTCAATGAAGCTGATGTACGGAGTACCTTGCCCTCGAGGCCCATCCTCCCCCCCCCTTTCTGAGGTGGCCCCTTCAGAGAAACTGATGGGCAAAGGGGGAGCCTTCACCATCCGGTTTAGTCTGCCAACACCCTCTGTACGCTACTATGCAGTAGAGTAATGTAGGGTCAGGACATGGAAGCCAAGCCCAAAGTACCTCTCCACCAGTCCACGATGACTAGCAACCGCCCTGGGCCCTTTCTCCTCGATGGACGCTACGGCTCTCTCACACACACGCTACTCCGTAAGGTACACATTGGATGCATGTACTCCGTACCCATCTGACCTCCATGCCACGCCTTTTGCCTCGTCTTCTTCCTCGTTCAGGTACATGCTCTCTGCATTGCGACTCTATGTAGGATGTACGTACCTTGATCCGGTATCTGTACCTGATCTGTTCCTACCCTCCCATACCTTACCGTCTTAATATTATTGTTTGGCTTTAACATGCTCCAGTCCTCCTGGCGCTCTCCTACTACTCTCACTCACACTCGGCGTACTCCTTTTTTTTTTTTTTTTCCATCCATCCCTTCCCCGGCCGCATACTCCGTACTGCACTGACCTGACCTGGCCTGACCTGGGCTGGGGCCTGACCTGACCGTACTTACCGACCGTATTTCTCTTGCCTCTCTCCCACGTCCCTGCTCATTTGATAGACGTACTCGTTCTCTTCCTCTTCCTTCCTTCTCCGTTTGCAATTTCCTCCCCCAATTTGTAATTAACAGACGGATATCCTCTCTGGCTTGCTTCTTGCGCTCTTTCACACACTCACTCCAGACCAGTCCCTCATTACCTCTGGATATCCTACACCCCCTGAGCAATCTCCGTCGCTGCTGCTGCTTCCTGCTCCTGCTCCTCCTCCTACTTCCTTAAACAACAACCTCGCCGCCCTCGCTCGCCCTCCAATAGACTTTCACCCTTTCCCTCCTCTCACGAATCCTCACTCTTGCAACCTTCAACTACTGCGGCTTTCTTACCTCGCCAACAAGACCCGACCAACAGCCGATATACACTGTACACCCACTCGACCGCATCCTCGGGCTCTGAGTTCCCGTCATATCCAACCAACGAGATTCCAAGAAGTGACTTGGCCGCTTGTTTGCTTCTCAGCCGTGCCTCTGCAGCAAGCACGCTCCCACAACGGACTTCTTCTGTGGTCCAGTCGCTCCTTCCTGCTGCGCTACGCTTCTCTGCTTGAGCAAACATCCCTCGGTCGATACCTCCAACGCTGATTCTCGTACTCGACGACTGCAACTCCTGCTGCATCCCACCCCCAGTCCAGCTACTACTGCTCTTGCTGCAGTATTTTGTCACATTCGGTAAGTTACAATAAGCCTACTTGGCTTACCCGGCCATGGATGGCTGCAAACTCGCGGGCGTCCTTCGCCCCCTCCCTTTGGCACTCCCTAGTTCATTACACAGAACTCCGGGAACCAGCACCTGCATTCGCCCGTGTGTGTGTCGCTCACGAGACCCTCTTCGTCTCACAAAACTACCGATGCTTGTTTGCGGCCTTCCGACTAGATATACTCTCGCTAACTTGCTTCCTCAGGGAACACCAGCCACACCAGAACGTCCCAACCTTCGTCGGTTTCTAGGCTCTGCAACCTGCTTCAACGTCGATTTCTAGCGTGTAACTTTGGAGGATCTAGATCTGGTTTCTGACCAATCTCTACTGAAACTGCGATTTCTGACGACTTGAAGGCCAGTCGAGCAGAACGTATAACGCGCGTTAAACCGACAGATCGAGAATCTCAAAGATGGCGGGTGATCAGGGCGCCGGTGGCGGCATAGAAAGCAACCGTCGCCACATGTCGACATCAACCCGCAACGGCGAGAACGAGCCCATCCAGGAGTCTGAGCCGCAGACCGGAAAGCAGACGCAACAAGAGGAGGCAAAACCCCAGTTCAAGCAATCGTCACAGGTCTCTCCTAGAGGCTTTAATCCACCCTCAAACACATCAACACCCACAACAGCACCTCTAATGGCTAGAGCATCATCCAACAGTTCAACTGTGTCAACACCGAACGCGCCGACGGACAGCTACTTTGGAAGTGTGCCGGACGTCAAGGCTTCCGCTCCCCGGATCTCTCGGCCGATCGAGCCCCCTGTGACAAAGGTAACCCTTAGCGAGTTGGACGTCTGCAAAATTATGCACAACCCAAAGTTGCGTCATGATATCAACTTTGACCCGGAGTTGCACTTCCGCCCCAATCTGGACGGCGACAAGGGCAAGAGGAAACAGCACAAGGCCGACCTTTTCTGGAACACCCTTCAGGAGCAGCTCATTCAATTTGTGAGCGAGCCAGAGTCCTTTTTCTCTGCACACGGCCAGGATGATGATTGGTGCTTGCCATCTTTGTTGAAGGCGGTTAAGGAAATCATTCAGACTTTGGTGCCCCAAAGAGACAGAGTTTACTTGGACGAGGGGCTCAATGTCGATTTGCTGATGCAGCAATTCTACAGGGGAATCGCAGATTTGGAAAAGCTGGCTCTGTGGCTATCCCGAGTGCTCAAATCACACTGCGCTCCGATGCGTGATGAGTGGGTAGATCAGATGTATACGCAGTTGAGCAACGGAAACCGGACCAACAACGTGGATGAGCTTGTCAAGGGCATGAAGAGTCTGCTCAGTGTTTTGGAGGCTATGAAGCTCGACGTCGCCAATCACCAGATTCGCTGCCTTCGCCCGATCCTTATTGAGGGAACTATTCCATTTGAGCGCAAGTTCTTCGAGAAGAAGATTCAGGGAAGCAAGCTGGACGTCACTCAAGCAAATGCCTGGTATAGGGATGCCGAGCAGAGATACGCTGCTTCTGTATCTCCCATTGCAGCTCATTCCTTCGGTGAGATGTCCGTCTTCTTTGAAGCCATCTCTCGCCTGGTCTTGCCCTCGGTTTCCGAGAAGGCGTTGCCCAATACCTTCATCTTTGACGAAGAGCGATTTGGCAAGCTCCGCGCGGATATGTTGGACGCCATCAACTTGGAGGTCTGCATGCGTATGTACGACGACCTTGAGAGAGTCGGCCGACTGAACGCCCCCCTCTTCGCCAGCTCCTTCTCGCAGTTCGACGACGAGCCTCGCAGCCGTCCTCTTTCAATGACCCCCGATTTCAACTTCAACACTCCACCCTCGCGGCCGTCGAGTCTCGCCTTCAGCTCCGGCGATTCTGCTACTTCATCGCCACGATCTTCTCTCATCCTACCGCCGCAACCTACATCCGATCCCACTGAATCCCTTGCCAAGGCTAGGGATGTCTACAACTCTTTGGTCGCGCTGCTCCACACCTCGCCGCCGCCGCGCAGGCACGAGTCCCGCTGGGAGGCCATTGCTCCCTCGCTGGCGCTTCAAATTTTCCGATTCACCAACGCGCCCGCCGACATGCTACCAGTCTTCGAGTCGAAGCTCGCTTCTCACGTTTGCGACATCAACAGTCCCTTGTTCCAAGAGGTTGAGGCGCACTTCCACCACAGACTACTGATGGAGCTCCAGAAGCGGGTGCGCGAGTTCCGCGGGCTGACTGGAGTCGGTCTTTTCACCGTGGCCACTAGCGGCCGTGTCCAAGGTTCAGGACGATCCATCGGCAGTCCCGACCGCGAGGGCTCGGCTGACGGAAACCGTGAGACTCGGGACGACGGCGGAATCGAGGACATGGCGACGCGGCTGGCCCACCTTGGCATTCTCCACTGGAGAGTCTTCGCCGGCCTCGCATACACGGAAGAAGAGCAGGCCGACAGCCTGATGGAAATGAACCAGTTCTGAGGCATTCAGCCTACTCTCCAAAAAAAAAAAAAAAAAAAAAACTCAATTTAATAAAGAGGGATGCCGGTCTCAAAGGAAGACGAGCGACCCGACACGCCCAAGGGGCATCTCTATTATGTCTGGCCGAACAACAATACCCCTTTTTTAAGTATTTTAATCCGCATTTCGCAGCTATTTCTCACAAGACTCTATTTGGCTACGGGGGTTACGGAACCTTTAGACGGTGTTTGGGGTATCAAAGCATCAAATTCGCGAGCGCTTTTGCTGCGATGAATTACTTGGTTCGGCGTTGCATGGGGAGGCAGTCACATCCAGATACATAGCGCACTTTTTGCATTGCTGAGACAGAAAACAAAGAGTCACGTTTGCCCTTCACTATTTGCTCTGCCTCTTTTACCCGTTCCTTCATCGATTATATTATGTGATTGGCACACTCAAGTGTGGATGTTGGTCTATCGGCTGTGTCCACTGTAAAGTTGCATCCGCATAAAGCAAGCATAAAAACGCTGGAACGGTCTCAAGGCAGCCACAATCACAATCACATGCGGATGCCGGGTGATGGCCAATCGGTGAGTTTTCCTCACATATCGATCCGGGATGTGGGTGTGTGTCTTTCATTCATGTACTCTTTCCCTTTGAAAATTTTGGACAATTTCTGGTGGTGTTTGTGGCTTTGAGTTGTACGTAGTTTCTGAGTATGTTCCAGACGTCAGTCAGAGCTGATGTGGTGTTTACTGTACTTTGGGTTTGCAATAATGGGAGTTGGCCGGTAAGTCTATCTCCTAACAGCTGATTCTTCAATGTTAGTAGGTGTTCTATATCGGATTTCGGTGATGAATCCGTTCTGTAGTTATGGTGGTTTCTCCTCCTCTCTCTATTACTATTTGTCGTCAGCTGAATGCCATCTGGTTATAATCACAGGCTTTAATAGACGTTGTTGGAAATCCACCGTAAAGCACTCCCGAGTTCAGCTTCATGGTGAATTATTACGATCATCAGATATCATGCCAACATACGATATGTTCTCTAGGACTCGAAGCTGATTTGAGCAGACACACTCTCAAAGGAAGTAAATGGTATTAGCTGAGTTCCAAACCCACTGGAAAGGAACGAAGACAATGAGAGGTCACGATGAAAGACAAAACGCAGAAAGCGAACTTTAATAATTCAGCAAAGGTAGCGCAGCCGTAGAACGAGAATTTCATTAATCATTCAAACTCCCCGACAAGTTTCCCTACTCGATTGACGAGTATTCTGGACGGATACCAATGCGTTAACGGAGGTTATGAAAAGGTTGTGGCTGTGAACTTATTCTGGATGGCGGTTCAGTCTATGAGCAACAACCTAAACCATTCTCACTCGTATCTTTTGCTATTTACCCTCTCTCTTGTATCCAGGGACGTGGTGAAGGAGTTGTTCCCGAAGTCCTGGTCATCCATATATCTGCTGGCCCTACTTTCCTCTCATGAGTATACGTGAATAAGTCGAAGCCAGCCACTTCAACCGCGGTACATTGCGGTGAGTGTCAAAGAATGAAGCAGAGGCGTCCGAGAACCCGCGGCACCCTGCCTATCGTTCTTGCCAGAGCTGGTATTCAACTTACCAGTTCCTTCTTAGCCAACATCCACAGAGCCGATAAGCTAGTCTGCTATGCAAAACATTGGTAGCTACCTTACTGCGGTGCTGGGGATCGATCGCCTTGTGACGGCTGTTGTGAAATGCTGGTTCACCAAGAGATCCTCCTACAACAGGCCCAGGCACATCGGAATTGCGGATCAAAACTGCGATGTGTGATTTGGGATGAGTTTTCTTCTCTTACTATACGTAGCGACGTAGTATTGCGCGTGGGGACCTCTAACACGTGCAAAGATACAAGCTACCTATCGACGAGTCCTTCATTTCTTTCCCAACCGTTTGTTTGCTTCCTGGAAGGAAATCAAGACAGTACAAGAAACACAAATATTGGATTCGAAACTCGACCACCGTGTTACCTTGTCGGTTGGCTTTCCAGCACTGTTGCCATATCGGTCGTTCTGGCCATCTCTCGATTCTCCACCCAGACCAGCTCTGAACGTGAGGGTACTAAAGCCAACAATGTTTCCAGTTCTGGTCATCTGATCTTTCTCTAGAGAAGAGGGAACCCCCCGTGTATTTTTTCTTGCTATTCTTCCTCGTATACGCAGATGAGCTCTCTTACGTGTATCGAGTTCTGTCACTACGATGCGCCTGTGTTTACGACCTAACGAGTTGTCTACTTCATGGTGCCGACTTAATGAGCAATACTCTCTGTTCTGACAGCCATCTGCATCTCCATGAACAATGCCAACAGATTAATGTTTACCTCTGTAGCAAACCTCTGGTCATAGCCAAAGTGCTCTAGTTCATTGAAAAGATATCGTCTAAATCCATTGCCATCGATTCGACTGCCCTTCGAAGTAACTGGTTCTTTCGACCAAGGTTCAACCAAAGTATCAGGAGAGAAGGTGGAAGGCGACATTTGCTATTCAAAGACAAGATACCAAAAATTATGACAGACAAACCAAGGTGGACACTAATATAAATACTGCTGACACGGTTGGACCAGTCTCGGAAAGCGATTCCTCAAGCAGACGTGGCGCTTCGGCAAATATGCGACGGTAGATGAGTTTGACCGACGTCAATTTGAGACGGCATCTTGGACAGAATAAGGCTACAAACTACTAAAGGTAATTACGTACAGAGAGATCGCAAAGCATGAGCTTTTCTACATACTCACGTACGTAGAACGATACAACAGTTTAGGGTTAAAACTCATACGGATTGGTTGCAAAGATGTATGTTTTACTATTTCATATCCATATGCTTTATATCCAGATACTCCATGTCATAAATATTAACACGTACGACGCGTAATTAACGATGAGCCCATCGATGGTTGTTTCTCAAGAATTTTTCCAGAGTTTGTTGCTGCCACGGAGTCTTACATCTCGGTCGCAGAGCTTACGAATCTCAACGACTTCCCTGGCTAGGACCGAGAGAAGTCACTCACTGAGTGACGAGGAACCGCTGAAAGCGTGCGAGAAGGCAATAGGCTGCTTCGAAGCCTGTGGTCAGACAGACAATCGTTCATAGAACTCGGAAAGGCATCCGTGGCACGGCGTGTAAATGTACATGACGTCTAGAGCAACGCCAGTATCAGAACCGCAGTTGCCGTCGATGGTGGTGGAATTTCTTGCATTATTTCTACCGCCATCCGGCAAGGACCGACGGTGCTCATATACTACTGATATCGTTATGCGGGCCTAATTGGCCGTAGCCGTATCCTCTTTCTTGCGCCTGGCGCTGGCATCCATCTAACAAAGCAATGTTTCATTTCCCAGACCAACTCCGAACCATATAACAAGTCTTTTCGTACCCCGGTCGAGAGGGGTTCCGCGGGTGTGCAATCATACAAGGAGGGGTTGAATGTTTAGTTGATGAGCATGGAAACCTATCATAACTCAGTTAGAAATGCAGAAGGGAACGACCAGAGTTGGGGACTTGCCGCCATGACGACACAGCATAAGCTGATGTATGGACTTAACCGTTCGCCTACTCTTGCGAATTTCCAAAATATGCCCATGATACTGTCGAACTATATTAGCGAGCGTGTTACTACATGTGTGCGTGCCATTGGTGATCCTACCCGTCCTTGTTCCGGTCCATGATGGCGGGCATGAGCTGGTGCGCGTATGCGCATGTGCAGATGAGGAGGAGAATGACAAGGAGGAGCGACTGGAAGTTGAATAGGGCGGTCTGTGTCTTGGTCAGTACGACTATATTATACTGAGCATGATCGCGGAGTTTGACATACCATTTTTGCAAGTTGAGTCCCTCTGCGAGGGTGAGTGGCGGCTTGAACGGAAGACTTTGGGTAAATGGACAATCTAGCTTGAGCGTCGCGATCCTAGGGGCGTGCTTGTCTTCAGCCTCTACTTAGTGGACAAGGTGGCCCGGAGGATTTGCGCCACATGTGGCCTGAGCTTGGAGCTCTGCATCAGCCACGTTTAAGTATGAAGGCGCCACCCCCACAGTCAGCATGGGTGCTGGACAAGGCCCAGAACCTGAGGCTCAGCTTGTAAGGTTGCGATAAGATAAGGCACCTTCCTGTCTTCGGTTCTGTGCCTCGAAGTCTGTCACTCAATCCCAAGCACCTGCCCACCTAGGTACCTACCTAAGTCTCAACCTCGACTCTACCTACCCTAGCAATCCGAACGCCGAACTTACGCGCATCACAAAGGAGCCTTTGCGAACTCCTCTAGAGCGAATACATCGAAAATCAGAAACATCTTGCTCATCACGATCGGACAATCGGGATTTATCCGCCCATCATGGAGCCTCGCGCCCGCGCCGCCAAAAATGTTGGCAAAATGAACTTCAGCCACAACGAGCGTATGTTCCTGTCTCTGCAGAGCTCAGCGTCACTAGACATTGGAGCAACAAACTAACTAATCTCGCACTCCGCAGTGGCTCAATTACTATACGCCCACGGCGACGTGAGGAATCCGCTCCCCGAAACGATTCGCGTGCTCGACGAGATCGTAACCGAGTTCATCCAAGGCATGGCCTTCGAGGCGACGCGCGCAGCCAACTACGCGGGACGGCAAAAGGTCAAATACGAGGACTTCGAATTTGCGTTCCGCAAGAATGACGCCTTTCTCGGAAAGGTTCAGGAGGTCTTTGAGAAGAAGGGCGAGATCGAGTCGGCCAAGAAGATTTTCACAAAGGACGACGAGGCGGTGCTCATGAAGGACGCCGCGGACCAGGAGCACGGCAAGAAGGATAAGGCCGCCAACGGTACGGGCGAAGCTTCGAGTGCGGCGGACGCGGCGGTGAAGCAAGAGGAGGAGCTGGGCGAGGCTGACGACGACGCTGATGCCGAGAGTGAGGTCGCGGGACGACCGTCGAAGAGGGTCAGATTGGACGGGGACGGGAAATGAGTCAACGTCGGTTAGTACGGGTGGAAAGTATGGCCATTTGGGCTCTTCTTTTTCTTGGGATGAGGCATAGCATTGGGCGTTTATTGGATGGTCGTCTTGAGGTATTGGCTTTGATATCATCATTATTAGGGGGTCTGGCTTAGGAGGGGTCAAAAAGCATACTATTCACGATTATCAAATGGACACCCGTCAATTTTTGGGTGTCTTACTACGAAAGGGGGCTCAACTACCCTGGGAACAGCAACTGAGTTTTGGAGACTAGCCGAGATTTGATCGTGATGAGCCAGGTACCCATGCGCGTTGACCGATGTCTTGTCTAAGGATCAAGCATCGACGGCTTTCAGTCGAACCATGTAGAGTTATCTATTAAAATATGACAGTCATTGCTGTGACCGAGTTGAAAGAAAGTCATTTGGTCAAGACCATTAAAGTGTTGCGGAAGAAGACCACCTCCGTGAACTGTCTTGCTTTCGACTTTCGATGCCACAACCTGTCTAGAGACCAGAGATAATGCTGAAAAGTCGATAAGAAAATCATCAAGGTTCAGCCGCTGACATATTTCGACGTGCGCTCAAGCGGCTTAAACTTTAAAGTTTACAAACAACCAGAAACACGGGTTTCTGGCATCTGACCGAGTCATCCAATCCAATTTGCTCCGAATCGGTGCCGGGCCCGCCGCTGTCGGTGTTGGTGCGAGTGGATCCACGCCGAGAAAGTGGACTAGTTCAGCCCCCCCGGCAAACGACATCCGGCGCATATCCCAGTGCCTTCCTTCGATGGCAAAACCTGGGAAGATGGTGTGGTTGCGATATCGGGGGGAGGAAACTACCTAATCAGTCTACAGGTAACACCCAACGATGATCATACTGTTTCTGTTTTCTCGGTGTCGGCGGCGCATCAGCGGAACAAAAGGGCGCCCTTGCCAGCGGGTTGACGCCGGGCTAGCGGTAGCGGGGGGTTGGGTTGGTTTCTCTCGAATCCTCTGGGCGTTTCCCAAGTGGGTTGGTTCATGACCATTCGATGCTGGGGGATTCCCACTCCACCCGTAGCTCTTTTCCCTCCTCTAGCGAATCCGCACTGCTGCATTCGCCAACACTGACTTGACTGACAAACTTGGAGGGATTTCAGAGGGGGTCATCTTCTCACGCATCTGCCACTAACACCCAGTAAAGAGAAGACGGGCACGACGGGATGCATGGGTGGGAGACGTGATGGTGGGCTATGCAGGCACGCCAGGCAGCATGTGCCCACGCCGCCACACGCAATCAACCACAACATTTTGCACATCGATACTCCTCCGCTCCCACCTCCGCCCCCGTCTCCGCCCTGGCGAGGAACTATCCCGAGTGACTGACTGAGTAACTGACAAGCAGGGCCCCATACACTACTTTACTCCAGCCTCCCCACTTCCGATGAACGATGGGGAGTCGCTTTGGTTTCTGCACCTTTTGTCTTTCCCTGTGACTACACCCCGCTTCATTGCATGGTCAAAAATCTCTGTCTATCTCTGTTCAAGTAAAGAGTTCATTCTTACACACGCTATTTGAAATATCGAGTGAGCTGGCAGAGATCACTTCTCGCACCGGAGATAGAGCCTACTTACGTACGCCAGCCATACTGCTTAACTCTTGATGGCTTTGGACCTATAGACATGACTTCACCTAGCCGCCATGTCCGAACAGAAACAGAACCATGATAACCTATTCGTTCCTCGAAACACCGAGGCCAAGTCGAGGTCTGATGGAGAACCAGAACACACTGACGAAGCCAGTCAGAGGTTATCAATAGACAGCAAGATGTCCTGGCCACACGACCATGGGAAGGGACTCTCAGCCCTACCAGATCCAGACTCGTTCCGCAGATTCTCTACGAGCCCTTTCCAGGATGGGAGGACATCACCGTTACCAGGGGCAGAGTACCCTCCACCGATATTACAGAGTTCTCAAAAGAATACGAAACTGGCGGCATTTTGGCAGACTAACAAGGGCGTCGTCTTGGTGGCATTATCACAGCTATTTGGTGCTCTGATGAACCTCACAGCAAGGCTCCTCGAGCTCGAGGGCGAAGGAATGCACCCGCTCCAAGTGCTCTTCGCCCGTCAAAGCGTCACGATGACCTGTTGCTGCCTCTACATGTACTATATGAAGACGCCCGACTTCCCCTTTGGAAAGAAGGAAATTAGATGGCTTCTCGTTGCCAGAGGCGTAACGGGCTTCTTCGGCATCTTTGGCATGTGGTACTCAATGATGTATCTGCCCCTCGCCGAGGCCACCGTCATCACCTTCTTGGCCCCCAGCGTCGCCGGCTACGTGTGCTACCTCGCCCTCCGCGAACCTTTTACCCGAAACGAGCAGATAGGCACCGTAATAGCCTTCTTCGGCGTCGTCCTCATCGCCCACCCGACCTCGCTCTTCTCCGGAGACTCGACGTCCACGGCCGCCGCCACCGCGCCGGAAACCCCGGGCTCGAATAATGGGACGATGACCTCGACGCTGCCGGGACTGAACCACCAGGCTACGACGGCGGAGCGGCTGACGGCCATCGGGGTTGCGATAGTGGGTGTATTCGGTGCGGCTGGGGCGTTCACGACAATCCGGTGGATAGGGAAGAGGGCGCACCCGCTCATCTCGGTGAACTACTTTGCGACGTGGTGCACCATCGTCTGCACCGTCGTGCTCACCACCGCGCCCATGCTCGAGATCGGACAACCCGCCCTGCGATGGGGCCTGCCGCAGACGGGACGGCAGTGGCTCTTCCTCGTGCTGCTGGGCGTGTTCGGGTTCGTGATGCAGTTCCTCCTCACGGCGGGGCTCGGCACGGATCGGTCGAATAGGGCGAACGCCATGGTGTACACACACATGCTCTTCGCGGCCGGGTTCGACCGGTTCATATTTGGCAACGTCATGGGATGGATGAGCCTTGCGGGCTGCGGGCTGATCATTGGCAGTGCGCTGTGGGTGGTGCTGACGAAGCGAGCGCCTGTGCCTAAGAGGGGGGCGGATGTGGAAGTTGCCAATGTACGGGATACGGAGGCTGTACCCATGTTGGCTGATATGGATGGTGGAAGGGACGAGGACTTCGAGCTTCAGAGAGTGAGGTGATGATGTATGACGGCTTACGCTGTATGATGATTGGATATAGGTCAACAAGATAAAGAAAAGGGATTCGAGAATTTAGATACACGGATTAGGCCAGTGTCCTATGACACTTGATAGACGCCCACAAAAGGGAGTCTTGGGTAAATTGTACCGATATCCGTTTCGGAGTAAGGTATTAAACGTTCGAACTTGTCAAAATATGAGTCCTCACGTGTCACTGTTTGCCCATGTGGGCATATACTTCGAAGTCCTCTTGAGAGTAGATTAAATGAATTTCAAGTTATGAGGCAGCAAAGCTCTAGATTCAGAGATAACACAGGCACTAACTTAGAGCTCAAGGTGGGCAATACTCTACTCAACCCTATCTCACCCCGGAAAAGGTCGAAACAGCCTGTCGAAGGGCATTTGTGCTTGTAGTCTGGGATTGGGAATCAGATTGCTGGATGAGCTCGTGCTTAGGTGCAGGCCCTCTGCCGTGAGCACATAGCTTGCCAGAGCCAGATCTCAGAACATCATGTGTTTGCAATGTAGCCCCATCCACAGAGAACTCAGTTCATATGCTACAGGAAGCCGAACTTCGGCGATTATCTCCGAGCATCGTCGATGAGCCTTTCACTCGACTGAGACCTTGATTTCTCACGAACGACGTCACAGAGGATCCTTTAAGGGACTTTCGAGAAAAGACACCAAAACGTGTCGCCAAGCCAAGGATGTGACACTGACGGCTTACGCATCCAAGGGGTGACTTCAAAATTCCAGCACGGTGGGACGCTGTTTGTAGATGGGCTACACTGGTGGAGAGGGTCTCAGTGAAACAGCAGTCTCAACATTCCCGAACGCGGGAGCAGAACCGTGATTGAAATTAGCATTTGAGTCAAAGTGACTTACGCACATGGGGTTTGACGGTTCCGATCGCACATCATGGTCCGATAAGAAGTTCTTCGATTCGCGAGGAACATTTTGTGCAACGTCAACCCCTTTCCCTTCTACAGGATATTTGAAAAGCGTCAGGCGCTGTTGAGCGTTGAACTCTTTGGCGGAAGAAGTCGCTTCTGTCCGTGTATTGTGTGTCGGTTCTCCAGATGGGTACAGCATTTAATACGGTGGCTG